GTTTAGTGTTGGTGGTGCAACAATTACCAAAAAAAGAACTAATATGACTGATAAGCATTTCGAACAAATTATGTTCTTAAAATGCAACACACAAATGTTCGATTAATATTATATATTTATATATTATGAATGATTCAGAATTAAATTTATTTTGTGTTTTGTATTTAAAAATTATTTCAAATACTAGTATTTGGGTGGTATTTTAAATACTTTATTTTATAAGTATTTGAGTAATTACTTAAATACTTTTTAAAAGTATTTTTTACAACACTGAAGGCTACAACACTCACAAAATGTTATTGTGGAATTTCGCACACCTTTATTTTTCCACTTACCTACAACAACTATTATGAGGAACTTTTTTTTGTGTTACATTTTCAATTTTTTTTTATTTCGACAAGAGTTTTAAATAAACTAATAGATATCGAAGATGTCATATAATATGTTTGTAAATAGATCAAAACGAATCAAAATATTTTGAAAATTTGTGGTGTATTTAAAATGCGAGAATTTCTATGTAATTTTTTTTTTTTAAATAAACAATATCTATACAGCTAATGCACAATAAATTTATGTGGTAAGAGAATAACAGGACTTGAGGGAGTGAATAAATAATAAATAATAATATTGAATAAGCCACACAATTACGAAATTTATAGCGTTAGCATGATTAATTATGTATTGAATATTTATTGATTTTTAACATTTTATATTAAAATATTATATATATTATTAGGTATATGTTATAAGTTGGTGATTGTAATTTGTAGAAGTAGTGGAGTAGACATGATTTCTGAAAGTTGGGGGATAAAAAAAACGATCGTAGCCTAATGGCCAATGGTAGGGAAACATAGGCGCAATTTCAACTTTTGACTTGGGGGGCTGAATATATTAAAAGAAAAGCAGACATTTAAAATATAGAATTTTAAAATTGTATGTCCTAGATTTAATTAATTTTTTTTGTGACATCAATAATATTAGTTATCTCTCTTATTTTTTTAACTGGTTGTAATAATTTTATTAATACGCAAACATATTTTAAAAAAAAATATTTTTTAAATAAAAATATTATAGAAAATAGAATACATTCTTGGAATAATATTACAAAAATTGCTGCATATAAATATCATGTTGATGAAAAATTAATTAAATCTA